GATAGAGAGCATAGCAAAATGAAATAAAAGTCCATCAGTTCCAGAAAGCCTGGGTGTAAAAGATTACAGAAATAGTTTGGAGACAATAAGGAACATTCAAAGAGCAATACAGACAACAAGCCTCAAAGAAGATACTCTTTTTAGCCCCTATAAGTCTGGAGACTGCATTTCAAATAAAGCTAAATGCAAACACGGACTGTCATTGATCTTGTCACCATTTTCTTCTGATAAAATAACTGGAACATAATAAAATTTGTTGAATGAATGAAGCTGAATTATCTTCTCTACAGTTATACTGAAAAGAAAGGTAGAAACTTAACTATTTTAAGGAGCCAAAAGAAAAATGGAGGGAATGGCTGTTCTTTCTCAAATCTTTTATCCCCAATTCTTGTTTATATTGACTTCTATACGGTTCAGAAAATAAAGATGACTCTGAAGCCACTCTCTCATATGACAATCACAACTACTTCCTTAAAGTCAGAGAAACACCAGTTATAATACGCTTAGTTTAACATTCACTGCATACAGCTGGACAACAAAGCATGGTTGTAACAACTGAGAAGCTGTAAGTGTTGGTACTTTCATCTTCAGAGGGACGGTTTCAATTTTTCATTTTAAACTCCAGTTGTAAGGATTCCTGCTCAAGTTTCCCAAACTTCTAAAACTTATATAGTGCCAAAAGTTTGGATTCTGGAATTCTGTATTTATGTCATTAAATATCTTACTTCTGTTTTTTCTATGGTCTGATTCTAAGGACCTACAACAGTATTAGGCGTTCAATTTTAAACAATGTGTGACATTTATCTTCTTTGGGGAAGCTGCTGGGACAGCTATATGCAGTTCCTATCAATCTCACCATTGTAAATCTAAATGCCTGGTATGCCTAAAACATGACAACAGAGAGGCCCCATGAAAATTATTCATGAAACTCTTTTGGTGAGCACTATCTCTTAGAGAAGGTCATGAATGACAGTAAGAAAGCCAGAGGAGAAAGAGCTAAGGTCTACCCTAGCTCTGTGTTTCTACTCTATTACCAGAAAGAACTCAGGCCAGATCAGGATGATGCTGCAGAACCAGTGCATGTGCGTGCTTTCCCTCTCTCTCTAGTAATGTATGTCACTTAGTTATGGAAGGCCAATTTCTCTTTAATCAAATGGAGAGCATTTAGTTTACAGATACAAAACTGTTTTACAACTGATGGAACACTTTCAGAAGAAAAAGAACCTATTTGTTAAAAGTACCCTGAAAGGTAAAATCTCTAGCAACTGTTGCCCAACTTTTCAAGAGGTGTACAGGAACAAAAATGTCCTTTTATAAGAAGAAAGGCTGCAGATCCAGAGGTTGTTTTAAACTGGAGTTACTGTGCAAAGGGAGGAGGAAAAAGCAGCCAGCCCCAACAAAACAGATTTTCTCCAAGTCAAGGAGAAAGGCAAGCTCTTTGGGGTTCTAATTTGACATTCTATTCATTTTACATCAATCCCCATTAACCAATCTCCCAATAACCCAAAGAAATGTGTAGTGAGTGAGTAGATACATTAAGAGGCTTTCTGAAATATAAAATGGTTATTCTGGAACCAGAAATGTAAAACATTTCAACAGTATTCTAAGAACTTTTAATATTTAAAACCACTATAATGAACTCATGGAAAGCCAGAACATCTCCAGGGTTTTCATTATTAAGTAAACATGGTCTTGTGTTAATTTTTTTAAATAAACAAAAATTTTAACGAATTATACTTTCTAAACAAACATTACTCATTTTAAAAATTCATGTCTTGGATTCAAAAGCATTTTTGATCAATAATACAGATTTTAGTAATTCAGAGAAGAAACATAATGAATATAAACTGACCTAAAGAGATTTTTTTAAAGAATATTTTTAAAAGCAGGCAACATTAAGAAAGATGAGAAATTAGGCAAAGTAAAGATAATCAAACTCTGAAAAAGAATTTCACAAAAAATCGAAAATGTTTTCCCATATTACCATGTGCCTCTCAAACTAACAATGCACCACATTGTTATAACCAAAAAAGAAAAGAAGCTAATGAAAATTTACAAAGCCACTGATGTCCCCAGTCATCTACAACACTGGGTCAATCCAGATTATGTATATTTGATCAGTGACACACCAAACCTCCATCCAAGCTAGTTACTTCCAAATAAGCCAGAAAAACCAAGCATAACAATTTGGTATGTTAATTATATATAAAAGGCTAATTTAGACAGTCTTTCCCCATTATAAAAGAACTGAAGTATAAAGAACTGAAAAGCAAATAAAGGGTACGTTAGTAGGTTTGAGTCCCCAGAGTTTTGTATCATCTCATATCAGATTACCTTGATAGACAGGGTTCCCCAACTCCCACAAATTTTTAGCTAAATACTCCTTTTACCTAGTTTCCTATCTCTTAGAATTTCTTTGTAAGTCCTCATTAATAAGTAGTTTAAAGCATCCTCACCTAGTCAGCATAAATTGTTATTAGATAGGACAAGAAATACTAAACTCATTCAAATTTAAAAAGTTATTAGAAAAGACTTTATCAAGTTAAAAAAGTAACAACAGTTACTAGATACATATTCAGATATTATTTTCAAAGAACTACAGTTAATTTATGTTAAATTTTTCTTAAAGTCAGCAGTATATCAAAAGAATGCTTTAAAAAAAACAATTTCTCAATCTTTCCATTTTTTCCATTCTGGGCAAATCACTACACTTCTTACCCTATTTTTCAAAATGGTGTTAACATCTGAAATAGATAGCTCAATGAAAATTTCAGATAGTCATCCTTGTGGTTGCAAAGAAATGAGCTCTCAACAGAGCAGATGCTCACAGTTCTAACTACCTTGTTTTATTCAAGGATGTACTTCCTCTAGCCTACTGGAAATAACTGCAAAATTAATTAGAGCAGAAATAAAATGATGGAATAAAAATGTACAGGTGGAGACACCACCACCACAACACACAGACCTGGCTCCCAGTTTCAAAAGAATATTGAATTGTGTTTAAATGTCATCAAGACCCAAATACCTCCTAACCTATGGGATAGATTATTTCATTGATATTTGGGTCATCACGCTAGTGTAAGAAAATGCTACATCACGTATAGGAAAAAGCTCAGTTATACAATCACGTACTTCAAACTAAAACACTTTCTTATTTTTTTTAACTGCCAAGGAATGGAAAACGGAGCAAGAAAGATTGCTTATTATACATTACCAGAATTCTGGATCCGCCATGTTTTTATAAACTGAGTATCAGGAGGTATTGACTCTCCTTCTCCTATGGTGACATCTTCAACAAAGGACATAGAGGGCACACTGATGTTTGGGCTCTCAAAGTCATAATAGGCGCCAATTGCTGCTTGTAGGTTCCTACAAAAAAAGAAAAAGAAAAAGACTTCAGTCCTCTCCAGAGCACATTATCCTGTCAAACAAAAGGAAAGAGACTGTTTCTTAGGGTGTGTTACAGAACCTGTAAATAGAAGGCTCCTGGTATGTAAATCTTCAGAGTTACTGATTCTGGCTGAGGAACAACAGGAAAAACACCAGTATCAATAAACTTGTGCATTATTTTCTTCCCAAGGTACCCACATAGCAAGTAATAAACATTAGCACCATCAGCAACAACGTAAGGAAATCTCCCTCTTACCCACAAGGATAGCAAGTTTGCTTAAGGAAGTCAATAAAAAAGGAGCTCCTCTGACTAAAATTCAAAGAGGCTCCATTTTTTAAAACATTCTAATTAATTTTTTTAAAAAGCAGTGCCTGCATATGGTTACCAAGTTTCATGCAGTAAAAAATAGCCATCTTATCTGTTCTTTCCTACATACACACAGGGAATCATTCATTCACATTACTTTCTTAAATATCCTTTCAGAACTTCCTTATGCACATACAAGCAAATGATATATATTGTTATTTCCCCCCTTCCTATACAACCAGTAGCATATTATACACTGCCCTTTGCTTTATTCCCTCCTAAGTCAGTACACAGTGAGTATCCTGTTTTTACAGCTGTATCCACTGTATAGATACATCATTATTTATGTAATCAGTCTACTTTTAGTTTATTTCCAATCTTTAATTCTTCCATATATAAGCTTAAGCACATACAGTTATACGTACAAGCGCATCTGTAGGATAAATCCCTACAAGTGATACTGCTGGGTCAAAGGGCATATATTTATGGCTCTATCAGATATACCTAAACTTCCCTCAATAAAAAAGTTATATACTCAATAAATATTCCCACCAAGGATGTACAAGAGGGTCTACTACCCCACTTACTCATCAACAGTGTTTGTCCAACATTTTGGATTTTGGCTTATCTGATAAAAAATAAGATCTCAGTGGGGTCTTAAAATGGTTTTCTCTTTTTACCAGAGAGTTTAAATATCTTTTACATGTTTATAAGCCATTGTAGTTTCTTCTTCGAAGTATCATTTTGTAAATGTTGGTGTTCTTTCTAATTATTTATAAACTCCTTTATGTCAGAAGGAACTACCAAGCACACAAACCAAAGTTCCAACTGAACAGAATCACGATTGACAGCTTGGTTCAGCAGTGCCAGAAACCAAAGGCCACTAAGGGGTTTAAGTAAGCTGTGTTCATTACAGAGATCAAAGAAACTGCTGGTAATTACATTAACTGCTTCTCTTACGGTCTTCCTCAAACTCGTGACATCATGCCTAGTCCCCACAGTAGACAACAACACAAATTACATTTTTCTAAACATAACCCAACCATAAACCACTGGATTCAGTGGGTTGTTTTTAATTATGCGTAAACATAGCATGAAATACCCTCTGACAGTACACAACTGTTCAACAGACATGCTATTAACAGAAAATACTTTCTGCTGGGGGCCTGCCTGTTCTTCCAGGTGTTTGCAGCTGCCAGAAAGGAAAGCTATATTTAGAGCAGCTACCTCAGGTCAAGCCTCACGCAATGGCAGCCTGTAGTATTAGCCAGTAATGAGTGGAATTATGCCACCACCAACTGCCGGCCTGTCGTGTGTGTGCTGGATAAAACTTACATGGAGCTGAGCTGGGCCAGGGTCCAAACTGTGCCTGTTTGCTTGACCACTCAATAGGAAGGTTTGGACTTTAGTCTTTCCAACAACTTCCTTATCTAGCTGACTGTGATCCAAAGTGAAGAATATGTGACTGGTCAAACTTTGGGGAGGCCCATCCTGTACCACCCATAAACAGGCTTCGGAGTACATCTGGAATCAGCCTTACCCTTAGAGATCAGGGATAAAATGAGGGAGAGAAAAGTAAGTCTAGTTTGCGTTTTGTTCTTCTGAACACTTTTTGTAAAAGCCAAGTGTCCACCTTTTTGAAAAGATCATTTTTTTGACAAAGATCTCCAGCAAATAGCCTGCTGAATTGTCTTCTGTTCACTTGGCTGTAAAATACGCTTGAGAGGGAAGAAACTATTTGTGCACTCGGGACAAATGCCAATTCTCACCCTCAGCCTGTGTCATATTTCACCAGTTGGCTCTGCCTGATATCAGACAGGACTTCTGTCTGTACAAACACTAACAAATGGAAAAGTCCAGCAACCCTACTTAGGCAGATCCATCCCCCTCCTAAAATCTCCTTTCACACATTTCAACTCTTCCAACAGCCAAACCAACAAAACTGCTTACTTGTACCTGTATTATACACGAAATTCAGCCAGAGGAAGATTAAGAAACATTTTTCAAGCCTAAAGTGAAACTGAAAGTAGTGAACCAGACTTCTGGAAGGAAGCAGGAGTGAAGGATGACAAAGCATATTCGTTTCTCCAAGTACAAGGCAGAGTGTGGATGATAGCCGGGTGGTAGTCTAAACCACTCAGGCAGGCACACAGCTCAAAATGTGGGTACACAGCTCCTCAGCACTAGGACCATTTAGATCACAGCCTCACTGGCTAAGAAACAGTAGCAATAGACTAAACAGCTCTAATTCACTGTGAGAACAAGTAGACATGATAGCATGTATTCCCATTCAAAACAACATAATACTCAACTATTATTAGCCAATAAGAAATTCTACATGAAACAGAATTGGCTGAGGACATAGAAAAGGGAGAACACAAACTTAGTACTCAGTCCAGCGTAAAAGTTTAAACTTCCAGGTTCCTTAAGTATTTTTGCTCAGGAAAAGTCTTTACTGCAATTTCAGATGATTAAAACACCCTAAAGAACAAAGGAGACAGTGTAACAGGGAGGGAAAAGGCAGAGTCTAAAATAAATGATGGTGACGGTTATACAACATTGTGAATATACTTTATGCCACAGAACTATATACTTTAAAATGGTTAAAATGGTGAACTTTCAAATGGCTTTGTTTAGAGGCAGCTCCTACACCTGGCTGTGGGGCTATGAACAAGCAGCTAAGCATCTGTGTCAGTTTATCCACGTGCTGAGGTTTTCTGCTATAAGGTTGGCTTATATTTTATATTACAAAGTTGGTGTTATAAGCCTAGCTGTGAAGACTGCATGAGGCAATGTTTGTAATGCCCTAGGGTGGCAGTCATTCATGCAACAAATATTTAATTAATGAACATTTATCCATATGCTAGGCACTCAATCTTGGACTAGTTATAGAATGGACAGCAAAACAGAAAAGGGCCCTATCCGTTTTTATAAACTTTCAGCCCATCAAACCAGGGAAACTTTCAAACAAGGGTAACTCCAACTATCTCTCACACTGAGGCTTATCAGTCTAAGGCAGCTTTTCTAACGTAGGGTAAAAAAAACGGGACTGGTACACAACATAGTTCAACTACACTGATAATCAGGTTAACCTGATTTAGAGTAGGAGAGTTTGGTGATGTTGATATGTGTTTCTTGATGAAATGCAATTTTGTAACTCATAAGCAATACTGTCCAACCTTCATTTTATAGATGAGGCCAGAGGTGCACTGACAGGTAAATGACTTGCCCCAGGCCAGAAAGTCAATTATTAGTAGAACTCAGAGCCACATCTATTTAAAGGCATAAAACTTTTAATTTACCCAGAATTTTCCAATTATCTACTAACATTCTGAACACCTAATTTTCTTAAGAACATATTAATTACCACTATGAATTCTATAAATGAATTAGTTGTAACTACTCATTAAGCTGAATTCTTGAAAATGGTCAAATACCTGATATTGCATATATTCACAGAGAACATTTATTTTTGTACTATGTATACAAACATAAGTCAGATTAATGGTCTTATGAAGAAAAATCATTTATGTACAGAATATACAGTCAGGAACATTATTCCAAAAATATGGGGGTAGAAAATAGTTAAGGAAACCAGGAAATCAGAATTGAAGAGGGAATACTAGAAGTCTGAGTATTAGCTCAGATTCTCAGCAAAATAAAATTAGATACCTTCTCATTTCCATTCTCTGAACAAGGAAGAAACTCAAAAGGATCCAAATGATTTATAAGGGAAAAAAACAACTATTCATCTTATTTGGACATAAAAAAGGAAATCAGAATTATGAATCGATCCACTTAAACACAAACAAGAGCATCTTCAGGCTTCAAGCGATACTTATTCCAAATTTGAAGAAGTTTCCCTCACCCATGGAATGTCAAGGATACTGCTACTAAGGCACTAACCCATCCAGGAATCAGGAAGATCTTACTACCTTTAAATGACTGAAAAAACCTGACTAGAAAAAAGATCTGTTTTAGACAGAGGTTCTTACTAGGGCTTTCCAACATCAATTCAACAGGCATCTATCTAACTTGGAAGACCGAAAACCGGGGTCAAAAAATACATACTTGTGACTACTGTGAATTTTAAGGCCTAGGAAGAAACAAAGAATTTCATTAAAACAAAGATGAACGCAGGTACGGAACAGAAGTTGGGCCAAAGAAGATTTTCAAACCAAAAATTAACTCATAGATGATACTATTTAGTATGTGAAGACAGTAAGCCTTAAAAAGAAAGAAACTTGTGAAAGATTTCATTGAGAGGGGCAACAAAATTCATATCAGCATTTACCTACTTCTTAGAGCCCCAGCAAGTCCAAGACTGTTTCTTCTCTCTTCTTTTCCTGGCTATTTATTGATCTATTAGTTTTATCACTTTTTAGAACTGGTCCTTCTAACTAACATCAGTAGACACAGTTTTCCCAAACAGAAAGTAAAAAACTAGCATTCTGCCATGAAAAACCAAGGCAGTGGCACTGTTCTACATTTAAAGAGAGTAACAATCAAATGCAATATATGGGCCTTGATTGGGTTCTGATTCTATAAAAGAACAACAACCAAGAAAGGTTATAAATGATACATTTGGGGGCAACAGAGGAAATTTAAAAAATTTTTAGCAGTAGAGAATTTTTGTAAATTATCTTATTATGTGGTTATGTAAGAGAATGTC